CATTTGTGCATCTTCTCAATTCATAAGTGAGGGTGCAAAGCTCATAAGGCCATCCACAACCAAGATCGTTCACTTGGATGGGGGGCTACAAGAGCTTAGGCGCCCAGTTGTATCAAGCCACATCCTCTCCCAAAACCCCAACTGCTTCCTCTGCACCTCAGAGTCCATGTACGTAGGCTCATGTGCTCCTCAAGTTCCTAAAGATGAAGAGCTCCAGCTGGGTCATATCTACTTCCTCATGCCACTTTCTCAGTCGAAGTCGCCATTGTCTCTCCAAGACTTGTGTTCTCTGGCCATCAAGGCCAGCGCAGCCCTAGCCATCCATTCAAAGGCAGCACATCTTGTTTCATCAAAGAGGTCACCGACTGGCGTTGACATGGTTGGCATTAGCTCCAAGGTGGGGCGAGGCAACCAAAGAATTGAGCTCTAATTTTAATTTGCAGCCAATAGAAGTGCATATTGGCACATAGTAGATAGCTAGGCATGTATCTTTGGACTTTTAGCCGTTGTTTTTAGAGAATGATGGGAAAAAAGAGTCTATAAAGCCCAAGAATATTACAAGAGATTATTATATTTTGTAACAAAACAAAATGTAGAAAGCGACTTCTTATCTTTGCACTTCTCTTGTGCTTTTATACTTTGACATTGCTATATGTAGCTCCTTGCTATTACTAAGTTATGAAAGACCCCTTTCTCTAGATAACAACTATATTGTTATATTGCGCATTTGATTTAAATCATGAGTGTCGCATTTCTAGATGAAACTTGTAAAATACAATATGATGGATTAGTCAAACAATATGGATAGAATATTTTTAGATGGGTAATGCTAGGCTTACCACATTCATACCACCTCTCTAATAGAGGTGGAGCCCACCGTATTGGTGGGCTCCACCTCTATTAGAGAGGTGGTATGAATGTGGTATGAAAAATGTGGTAAGCCTAGCATTACCCATCTAAAAATATTCTACCCATATTGTTTGACTAATCCATCATATTGTATTTTACAAGTTTCATCTAGAAATGCGACACTCATGATTTAAATCAAATGCGCAATATAACAATATAGTTGTTATCTAGAGAAAGGGGTCTTTCATAACTTAGTAATAGCAAGGAGCTACATATAGCAATGTCAAAGTATAAAAAGCACAAGAGAAGTGCAAAGATAAGAAGTCGCTTTCTACATTTTGTTTTGTTACAAAATATAATAATCTCTTGTAATATTCTTGGGCTTTATAGACTCTTTTTTCCCATCATTCTCTAAAAACAACGGCTAAAAGTCCAAAGATACATGCCTAGCTATCTACTATGTGCCAATATGCACTTCTATTGGCTGCAAATTAAAATTAGAGCTCAATTCTTTGGTTGCCTCGCCCCACCTTGGAGCTAATGCCAACCATGTCAACGCCAGTCGGTGACCTCTTTGATGAAACAAGATGTGCTGCCTTTGAATGGATGGCTAGGGCTGCGCTGGCCTTGATGGCCAGAGAACACAAGTCTTGGAGAGACAATGGCGACTTCGACTGAGAAAGTGGCATGAGGAAGTAGATATGACCCAGCTGGAGCTCTTCATCTTTAGGAACTTGAGGAGCACATGAGCCTACGTACATGGACTCTGAGGTGCAGAGGAAGCAGTTGGGGTTTTGGGAGAGGATGTGGCTTGATACAACTGGGCGCCTAAGCTCTTGTAGCCCCCCATCCAAGTGAACGATCTTGGTTGTGGATGGCCTTATGAGCTTTGCACCCTCACTTATGAATTGAGAAGATGCACAAATGTTACCCATGAGAGAGAGAGAGAGAGAGAGAGAGCGATTGTTCTGTTTGTGTTGGGAACTAAATATGGGGAAGAGGGTTGGGCTTATTTTTCTAGAGAGAGATTGAAAAGCATGGAATTTAAAGGAAATTAAGGACAGTGTGGTGGGTGCATGGAAGAGAGGGTTGTTAATTATAGAGGGAGATAGAAGCATAGATGTGGAGCCATGGTTGACCCAACATCAATGCTATAATTAGTTAAACCGCGTAGGGGGTGGGGGAAGAGAGTGGGATGTGTTTGAAAATATATAGGGTTCAGCCTGACATTATTACTTTATGCTTTATATTATCTCATCGAGTCAAGTACAAGTCTCTTCTAGATAAATTATCATGAATAAAAAAAATAGTACTAATTAAATTTCAATACGTGCAATTACTCGTAAGTTACATGTATTAAGTCATTAACTTTGTGTTTTGTATCTGTAATGTATGTTTGAATTTAGAACATTTGAATTTACAACTCGTCTTATACTACAAATAATTTTTCTCTATATGCCATAAGGAAAATGCTAGACTTACCACATTTTTCATACAATATTGTATACCACCTCTCTAATAGAGGTGGGCCCCATTATATTGGTGGGCTCCACCTCTATTAGAGACGTGGTATATAATATGGTATGAAAAATATGGTAAGTCTAGCATTACCCTGTGCTTAATCTATAATGAAACAATACTAGTCTTCTAGAACCACCAAATCCGACAGAAAAATCTTCTAGAATAGTCATCACTATTGTGCACCACTAGTTTGTATGACTAGCTAGTAATACTAGGTCGCTAGCTGGAGGAAGGCTAATTACCAGATCTGTCAATGTCTAACTCAACCTTAAGCCTTTCGACAAACTCAACCTTAAGCCTTTTGGCTTCCCTTGATGGCAGCAATTGTCGTTGATGTTGATATTCTATGTTTGATAACAGGATCAACCAGAAATATTCTGATGTTTAACAGGTTAATGAAACCCGAGAGCTCCAATTGCTTCCATAACCATAATCATATTAAGGAGATTAAAAGCGGATGTGACAGGGCAATCAAAATCATACCTAGAAAGATCGGGGTATCTAAAAATATTTATAAAGTTGCAAAAACGCCGTATTGACACTGTTAACACGAAAAAAGAAATTATCCTCAACATAAACAGAGTATTTGCAGGCTCTCATATTACAACAAATTTAGGGAATTGAATAATGAAAAGCATGAGTGTTGTTTAGGGTACAACAAAATTTATTTATTTATTTATAAAAAAGCCAGGTTGGCATCTACAAGGCTTCAGATTAGGATAAAGCATATGCCCATATTTCATTAATTAATTTGTATAAACATATAATTAAATAATTAATTAATTGGATTGAAATTCATATTGTCTTGCGGTCGTAATCGTTGACACGGTATTTTGCGTTGCCATTGGTAGACCGCAGACCGTAGGTGTACGGCTTCTTTTCCCAAGAAGCGTCAAGGTCAAAACGGAGACTACAACAAATAATTAGTCTTCGTTTGGCCTTCTCGATTGTGTGCGCGTTTTTTCTTTTTCAAATGATTATTTCACGTTCTTTTTACTTTTGGAACCCAAAAGATATAGAATCATTTGGGAGCTTTATGCTAATGTCCTTTTCTCCTTTGGCTGCTTCTCTTCTCACATTCTTCTGCAACATGATCGATCGATGTGCCATTTATTCGTAATTCTTTTCATTGCCACCACAACTAGAAATTCTAGAGCTACCAAAAGCGTGTCTCAAACCACCCAACTTGCCAAAGCTAGCCTTTGGATTCATCTTCAAATTATTATTTTTTTGTTTTGGTTTCATCTTGACTAATATTAATAATTAAAAAGGAGCGATAACATATTAAACTCACATAGATGTTAGGACTCGAACCCATAATCTTTCCTTGAGGAACAATTGCTCCAAACCACTATACTAGTTGTCCTTTGCAATTCAAAACACATATATATATCTCTTCATAAAATGTAGTTCTTCAAATATTTCAATGAAGTGTACTTGTAAGTTAAGTGGTGTGAGAATCTCTCATACGATAAATTAGAAAAAATATCCATGATTGACATGTCTCTCTTACTTTTATCAACACAGTATTTAGTTGTCAATTTATATATATGATCGAATGACTAAGATAGGTAATAATTACCCCTCTTATTTAATGACCTTATTAGAGAACAAATTATTGTTTTTTCAATGTTTTTTCAACTCTCTCACGTCGATGGGTCATGGTATTACAATATGAGTCCCATGCATATCATATGTCCCACCTTTTGAGTCACAGATTTACAGGTTAATTAGCGAGCAGCTATTGGACCAGTGGAAGATGTTTGGGAAAAGCTTTCAAATAGGATTATTTAGTGTAGGATTGTTGTCAAATAGGGTTATATTAGTGTAGCAAATCATAGTATCGATCAAATATTAATACTTTATTTATGTCATATTAAGATTATATAATAGAATATTATCAACACTGTATCGAGTAATATACTTATTTGAGAACAATGCTACAATAAAAAACTCTATTTGACACATTTTCCCAACATGTTTCACATTTCAAATCCTCCAATCCTAAAATAAAATAAAATAAAAACATCAAATAGTACTAGAGCCTATTGTCTCAATTTTTGGGAACTCCTTTTAGCTATGTTTTTCGGAGAACTGATGATGTGGCTCATAGATTAATTCGTTTTACTTTAATTCTTGATAATGCATCCTCTTGATTTCAAGACCCGTGTGATATCATAGAGCATGCAGTGATTGCTTTGTAATCTTATTCTTTATCAATTAAATACAGCTTTTTTCTCTTCAAAACTTCGATTGCATGTTGTAAACTTGTAATGTTTTTCTCATTAGATATTTTGATTTGGGGGCATTACACAGATCCAACAAATTTTGAAGTTTCTATTTGAAGTTTCTTAGCTGCCTTCAGCACTTCTATTACGCCATGAGTACTTTACGCTTTGGAAATCTATCCTAGAACGTTACTGTCAATGCCAGCCATTACAACAAGAACAAAAACTTAATCCCTTGAAAACAAAAATGTGATCAATCAACCCAAAAAAAGGTGATCAAATTCTGATTAAAATTTCATTTGATTCAATCAAAATCAAATCCTCTATGTCCATATGAAAACGAACATAACCAAGGAACTGATTAATATATAAAGTAAATTTCCAATATATAACACAATCATATCATGCACCCTCCATATCCTCATCCTCTAAAATCACACTCAACCTTGTCACAAAGCCACCACCTCCTCCATTACCACCACCATGACTGTGCCGCACGCGGCCTCTCCCTCTCCTTTTCCTCACAACTTCTCGACGTCCAGCGACGCTCGGGCTGCCACCATAACTGCCCATGGCCACCATCCGGCTAGGCTCTTCCTTCTTCTTAATAGTAAACACAACTTGATTGACCCTTTTACGTCTACCCACAAAACATCGCTTCCTCCGTCTCATATTTCCAAGCGCCAAGCTTGCCCTAACAGCCAAAGCAGCCATCTGCTCGGCTCGAAGCGGCCTGCTCAGCCAGCTCAACGGCAACACAAAATAAAGCTGACCGAGCTGAAGCTCTTCGTCCCCATTCACGGCCCTAACAAAGCCTCCAAAATCCATGTCGTCGGAGTCGCATATGAAGCACGTGGGACTCTTTTGAAGCACGTGCGAGACCTTAACTGGGTTTGAGAATTCTTGAAGCTGCCCGTCCTGGAGAATCACCTTGGCTGTGACAACAGACACAGAGGTAGAGTCGCTTGAGCTGCAAATGCCCATTAGTTAATGGTTTCATTTTGGCTGAGGACTTTGGAGGGGTTAATTAAGGGAAGATTTACGCGTTTATTTTTGTTGATTTAATCGGATAATTAATGTGATGGAACATGTATTTTAATGTATTTTTGTTAACTTTAGTTTCAACTTGGAATCGGTCGCCGTTTTCTTGTTTGGATTTGGCATTTTGGTGTAATTTAATTGTGAGCATAATTAAAACATGATTCAATTGGTTCAGAGAAGTGACATAATTAAGAAAATTGATGAGTGATATGAATTATTTGTAGCACACTAGAAGTGTCTATTAATTGGGATTTTAGCTAAAACTGCAAGACATGCAATACCAGGAGAAATTATAGAATACTACGATAGTATGGTCATGTGGTGTATTTTATATATATGTGTTATAATATGGGTGGACGACCATGGGTGGACGACCGAGTTTATTTTTCCCCATTTTAGGGAATAACATCAATAAATATCCATTTATATTATAATATGTGTACAAGATGTATCACGTGCCAGTACTATCATACATACTTTTATATATGTGTCAAACTATGATTTACACGGATTCCCTCTTTACAATGAAGGAGGAAAGCAGTGTCCTTAAAAAGAAATGAAATTGTTGGATGCCAAAAATTAGATCGTCTAAAGGTATTCCGTCATATAATAAGTTGATCCTCATTTCACTCTGTGGGCCTAATTCGTGGGCGTTCTTTTTTGGGGTAAATACCACGAGGTGTCCCCACATCCGAACCGTCATATAATAAGTTGATCCTCATTTCACTCTGTGGGCCTAATTCGTGGGCGTTCTTTTTTGGGGTAAATACCACGAGGTATCCCCACATCCGATAGAATTAATCCCCGCTCGGAGTTCGATTCCTAGCAAAGCAAGTATGTGTTAGTATTTTACATATAAAAAATAATTCTTTCCGCGTTGCAAAGAGAGCACTGCCATTCGAACGCCAATTCGACTTTTGTTTTTTAATGAGAAAAATTAAGGGCAACATTGTTAAAGGGATCTTTCAGTTTACGATAAGATCCGAATCATTTAGTTTGCAACTTTCTCTTAATAGGGATCCTTTGTGGTAAAAGTTTAAAAGATATTAGGTATACAATTGTCATTTCATAAATACAGAAATGAATTTTAATATAAAAATGAACATATGAACATCAAATTAATGGCTAAAAAATTTCAAATTTGACTAACTTTTAATTAAATGACATTGTACTGTTCAAAAATAGACAATTCTGCCATAATACTATTTGGGGGTGGTGGGTGTGCCCAAACCGTGTAAATGTAAATGTGAGAGTGAGGCTTGACATTTTGTCCAAGGAATAAGCCCAAGGACATAATGTTTCTTTCAAAAGCTTGGGTATCAAGAGGGCCACAATGTGACTTTCTTGAATTATTAAAAATAAAAATAAAAAAAAACATCTGGAAGGTGCTTCCTCTCTCCCTCAAGCATTATTCAGAAAGCACTATTAAAAAAAAATCTATTAAATATTGTCGGAAGCGTTTTTAGTTTTGGTTTTTTGAAACAGTTTTTAACAACTCTAAAAATAGTTCCAAATAGACCCTTAATTATGCAAGAGTTTGGAGGAGGTCATAAGTTCAAATCTCATTGAAGAAAGTCTTTATTGTATCAAAAAATAAATAAAATAAAACTAACTTAGTTGTATGTTGAAAATATTTGTGTAACTTCCTAATTTATTCTGACTCATCAAATCGAGATCATGTTTTTTCTTTTAACAAGACGAATTTTTTAAAATTACTCTAATTTACGCGGGGAGAAAAATTCGAATTCGGAAGCAAATGGGCGACCATGCTACCCTCATCTTCAATTAGAGATCACAATTTATCATTGGTTAATCAAGTTCCGTATGTACAAAAGGAACCTTTATCCCTACATTTTTATTTTTTACAAACATAAAGTTGCAAGCAAAGTGTAGTACAATTTATTAACAATATTACAGGATCATGGAGTACCTTTTATCCAACATCTTCTGAACCCACATACCCCACTCATCAGGCTCGAGACATTAACGACCCAATCACCCCAGCAATCAGAGTCGTTGGATCACCCAGCACAGCTGATATCACAAATTGCACAGCCAATCCAGCCATCTCACAGCACTTCTTCACTTTACCTCTGCTCTTATGATGGTGAGTTTGGAGCGTATTTTTAAGGCTAGGAATTCTAGTCATCTCCAATCTCCTAGTGCTACTTTTATTCCCATGTGACCCCAAAAACTCATGCCAAGTTTCCACAAGCATTTCCTTAACACATGCCACATGCAAATTATACTTCTTACATTTTGACCTATAACTCCAACTGCGCCCTTTACGCCCACACCTATGACAAGAGCTGCTCACTTTCCGATACAGATAGAGCTTGACCTCCCCGTCATCGAGCACCATGGGGAGCTTCGCGCAACACGGGTGAAGGTCGAACCCACAGGATGTGCAGTGGTATGTGAATCCGGTAATATCTTTCTCACATGCATTGCAAAAGCGAGGGTTGTTCCCCGGTGGCCTCGAGAGGAACTGGAAAGAGCACTTGGTGTAGAACGGATGGAAGATGGAAGGGGAAGGCATGGCACAATGCATGTGGAGATCGAAATCGCACATGGCGCACTTGTAGCGCGAGCCTATGCCTACCTCCTTGCATCCGTCACACTTGAATGGGATTTCTGTGTACTCAAACTTGAGCTTGTGTTGGGGGTGGCTGAAGTGGGATATCTCATTGTATTTCATGGCTTTTGGATAGCTATAAGCTGAAATTTGTTGTGACTTGTAGTAAATAACGTTACGGGAAATATATAAAGGGCGAGGGTGTTCAATTGTGATTGTGTGTAAATTAATACTTATGTTAGCTTGTAATTGAAGCAATTGGAGGGAATTATGCTTTGGGATGGTGGGAGTTTTTGAGTGTGCATGAGAATCACCGAGTAAGGACAGACATTAGGGACAGTTTGAGGTCTTGTCAAATGAGAATATATACGAATTTTTCACTTTATATCATATCTTTTTGTCCTCTCCTCTAGTAAATTACGTATACAAAATTTCAAAGGAAAGTGCCTAAAAGTGAAAAGTGGAAAATGAAAGGAAAAAATATATATATATTATTCAATTAATTATTGTCTTTTATATATTATATGATAATTAGTGGCTCTGAATTCCTTACATTTATAGAAGCATGCAAATTATAGAATACTACAATGGTACGACCACATGCAATAAATTTCATACGAACATTTTTATACTTGATTGTTATTGAAATTTTGGATCTTAATTTGAAAATTTTGCTGAGAATGATTCTTAAAGTCGGATTTTAAATTCCCAAAAGACCAAATTAGTTTAATTTTCAATGGTTTTGGAATTTACAACTATTTTTAGCTCGGATATGTGTTAAGAATATTTTAGGTACGTTGGAAAGGATTAAGGAAAGATTAAGAATCAAGGACTTCTCATCAACTTGAGAATTTCATAAAATATAACGAATTTGGCATCTAAAAAGCAGTTCGTGATTACCATATCTATATTCAGGTGATGATGATATCCTAAGCCAAAACTTTTTATAATTTTTTTTTTCTTCTTTCAATTTAGCTAAAATTATATTCAAAGCACAACCATTATATATTCAAAACGTACCCTAATAAACCTTTATTCCAGAAAGTTCTTTCGTATCAACAAAATCATCAAATCCTTACCAACGGATATAACTTATAGAAGTCTAGATCGATCCCACACATCAAGAAAGATAATAAGGAATTAAATAATTAGTGACTCTGCATTAAAAAAAATTATTATAATTAAGAGTACTTGGTATATTTTTCTTCCAAGAAAGATTGCATGACGTGGGGGAACCAATTCCCTCTTTTAGATATCTTTACTTTTAACCTCACAAGTCTCAATTGCTTGTATTTGAGAATTGCTTGGCATGCATGTTATCCATTTGTATCTTCAACTACCAACCTGTACCTAGGGCAAGCAAGGTGACCCCATCATTGTCCATAAAGAACTGATTCTCAATCAATCCATCAAATAAAATTAAAAAGGAATTTTTATTAGGGTATATTTTGCAAGACATCATCAATTATATATTGACAATTGCATGCACCAAATGAGTTCAATGACCAAAGAGCCCATGAATTTCATGGTGCCAAAGTGTGATTGGTTGGTGTGGGTGGGTTGACTGCACTCATCCAGTCATGGTGCTGAAAATTGACTGACATGATCAAGAATTGGAATCAAATAACTCTGGTTAACCAATAATTTGATGGTATAGTATAGTTAGCTTTTTCTTCTTCTTTTCTTATTGCACTTTTGTTTTTATTTATTTTGGTAGGATTGAAACATCTGGAATATTCCATATATATAAGTGCGGCTGCAGTAGTCTATGTCGTAATATATATCCAGTGGCTTCAAGTGTTGTACTTGCAAGGGAACAATGAATATGAATTTGATTCTTTCTTGTGTTCTTCTCACCTTTAACGTCCATGTCTTGATTGATATATCCATCTTCAACATGCTTACTTATCAGAAATGGGTATTGAAATTATTTTAATTCTTGCTTCTGGTGTATTTACTGACACATGGATATTTGAATTATTTTGATTTTTGACTTCTCGTGCATTTACTAACACATAAGAAATCAAAGCATCATTTGATCTCTGTGTTAAAATTCGTAATTCAATTCCCTCAAGACCATGAATAAAATCAACTAGGAAGAGTAGTTGATTCAATTCCTTAATTCTCCTATTCCTATGTTACCCGATTTATGACTTCCTCCATTCCTATTAAGTAAACATGTAAATGATGGACACAAAATTTGTTCATTTTTTTTACATATGTTTTCCAATCTGAAATTTCTCTTCTTCAACAAAACCCACCTGGAAGCCCATGCAATTGTTCAATGGGCCTCCTTGTGCAATATCTATGATGGGCCTTTGACACTGCCCACATATTTCTTCTACTTCTTCTTCTCCACTCTCTGTCC